ACAAAGAGTTATAATGCTGACTGGTTAAGCCATTTCTCTTGGTGCTAAGAACATGTACATCGCGTGAGCAAAAATGATGATATTGTATCAATGACAGTATTGGGCTGCATTAAAAGTTCCCCCCCCCCAAGCCTCCAGAAGTAAGGAAAAGACCTGGTCAATGAACTGTATTAATTGTTTTCGCTGGCAGTGCAGTACCAACCCGCAGCAGTTGGCATAAGCCCACGAACATAAGAAAAAAACATCGCAAGCACGTTATAATACACGTTATGTGAATTAACTTTGAGAAAAAGTTTTGCTTATATTAGCAATTACCTGAGTACAGGAATACTATCGAAGGCCGCTACAATGAACAGTATACGTTTAAAAAGTGGAATATTATATTTAGCAATTATACGCTGGGATGGTGTTCAGAGCAGTGGTAGAGGAAGAGCTGATGACCCCATATTACATCACTTATATAAAAGGTTTTTGATTCTATAGCTGAACAGCACGCAGAATAAAACAGGTATGACTACGACATCGAATAATCGTTAATAATGGCTAAACGGATCACAGTCGGGGAATACACAGATAGTAAACGAGAGCAGCAGAATCAATGGAAGAAACTCTAAATAACCAGTTGACAAACGAACCACAGTTATCACGATCGGTTTGTGATAAACGAACCGCCTTCGCTCAAAGAATAGAAATGGAATCATGGATATCTTCAAGAGCCATTTGTCCAATTTTAAGATTCCTAGGTACCTCTCCCGCTGTAAAGGTGCCACGAGAGACGCTGAAAAGCAGACAGAAAATGAAAGCCTATTCTTTGAAGAGCGATAAGTGAACGTTTATTCTCTACCTTAACAAGAAACGCAATGTGCACAAACCACAAAAATACATCATCAAGTGTTCCATATATTCAGTGTCAGGTGGATTAAACTTGAAATTACAAATCCATCTATCACTGGTGACATAATGACCCTTGTTAAATTTTCTGATATAACGGTATTTTTAACATTCACATAAGAAAGAGTAATGCAAAAGCTGACAAACTCAGTTCAACCGCCAAACCGAATAACCTCAGAATATTACATTACTCTGGAAAATCACCCGCTCATTCCACAGTTTCTACGCACTCATAGCTGTTGTTGGGGGGTGGCGGGTAATCTGCATCTGATTTAGATTACAGATGGTTTTTTCCATTAAATTGAATGCTAATATAGCAGAATATGGAGTTTCCAAAATTGAAACATGGTGTTTCAAAGCGTGATTGTTGCGGAATACCTCGAAACCAGCCGAAACAATTCACTGATAAAGCTGAGTCCATGATTCATGTGGGAAACAATCAGATCAACACTGTGGAAATAGAGTATACCTAGGAGTGATACTGTAAGATGATTCGAATAGCTGGTTCCATGATTTGTCAAACTCTCAGAAAATTCGGTCCATCTCTTACTACCTAGACCAAATGGTCAGAGCGGGAGTACCAGGCGGTGCCCGGAGATAATTCGTCGACGCTTGCATCTTGTCTTCAGTTACTTACACCGACCCAGTGATATTCCGAGTGTAAACAGGTGACGATCTCCATTGGCAGATCTTTCAAGTTGTGTTAGCCAAAACACTCCCGCTCTCATTTTACAATTATACTGTCACTGTTCGTAAAAGACATTCAGTTATTGGATCACATGCACCCATTATTCTAGGCTTTCCGGATATCTTGCAAATTAAAGAACTGAATACAGCATGGGTTACATCTTGTGCTGTTCATGACACTGCATGGCAAGCCATCAGATAGGTCAAGGTTGCTTGCAG